CCCCAAAACCCCAAAACCCCTTTAGTTATAAATTGACAAGCATTAAAGTAATTCTAAATTAATCATAAAGAAATTAATATTTTATAAAGGATTTATCAGAATTTTTTCTTGCTATGTTTGGATCTTGATATCTTTTCTAACTATGCAGCATATCTGTTTGGATTCATCTTTTATTCAATGTGTTCTCTTCTAACCATATCAATATCCTCCTCTTTTTATATTAAATCATCTTCTTTCATTGCAAACATCGTTTTAATAACCTATGGCCTAAATACTCTAAGCTCCTTATTAACTTATACTAACCAATTTATTTCCTCTGCTCTTTTCCTTAGTACTTCAATCTCAGAATCAACTTTATGAATTATATGCTTAGTAGAGGCATTTTTATCAATATTATTTCCAAGAGGGTCACAAGGAGATTCACCTCTATCAGTATTTTAATTGCATTTTTTAATTATTTTTTCTAGCTAGTCTTAATAAGAAGATCTTAATGGAACTGCATCTGGATGGAGTTTAGAATCAGCTTCAGTTTCATCATTTTAATATCTGATGTTAGTAGCTCTATGACTATAAAAGTTTATTTCAGGAGATTGAATGGGACTTCTCTCTCTTGATTGCATCCTAGATTACTGTCTTGATTATTAAACAGTATTGAAATTGCTAAACTTAAACAATTAAGTAGCAGGGTACAATGGCTTACGATTAAAAGTTTTACTTTGTGTCTTTTTTCTCGAGGTAAAAAATTAACCTTGACTCTTAGTATTGTTATTGTTGCTATTCATTGTCATAAACATTTACTATTAGAGAATTTGCTGTTATCTTGAATTTCCGTGAAAATGATGCAAGTTTTGCATAATTTGTTGTTGAAGCTGCTATTGCTCTAGTAGCACTTACTTCTTTCGTTATTTCTCATCTTCAATCTTTTTCTTTATTTTTTCCACTCTGATTTCTGTGGTGTCAGGATCTTGTTATTATTTTGGGGCTAATTCCCTCTCTAGTTTCTAAATAAATTTCCCATTTTTATGCAGATGAAATATGATTGGTTCTTAAGCAAAATCTTCTATCAGTTGCTATTAATTAAGTCTCCTATTAATCTTCAAGTTGAATTTCCCTCTCAATATGTTTTTAGTATTCATACTATTATCCATTGATGAGAATAAATTTCTAAACAACTATATTTTACAGTCTTTTTGTTCATCTTTTTCATCTTGTTAATCTATGAAATAAATGTTAAATTATTTAAGTTTTTAGTGTGATATGCTAAATAAAACTTACCTTACTGAACTTTTTGTTCAATCTCATGAAACTTTTCTTATGCTAATGAGATTACTTCTCTTTATTTGAGTTATTATGAACATAATTGACGCTTAATAGAATCATAGTTAAGTTTCTTTTCAAATTAAGAGTCAGTAACTTCAATTGGAGTATCTTTTTAAACAGTAATTTCCATAATTTAATGCAGTAATATTTATTTCTTTAATCTTTGATAAGCATCTGTTTGAGCAGAAGGGTTATGCTCTAAATTTAATGCTTCACTAAATTGGCCATCTTCATTATTAAGCTATGAAGAGGAAAATATGGACTCAGGAGGATTATTATCAAATTAAACTCTGTATTGATTTTGCAATTTTTTAATGTAATCTTAAGACTCATTTCAATTAATATGCTCGTTATCATTTCTTTTTTATCTAAATGCCTCAAGAATTTGAATCTTATCGATATTATATGGATCTATTTTTAGAACTCATAAGACATTATAATTTACTATCAATTTCCTAATGATTTTCTGCTGCATTCATCATTCACTAAATAATGAAAAATATAATTTTTTTTAATTTCAATTCAACAATAACATTCATAATCAATATTAGTCTATGGGGTTTTGGGGTTTTGGGGG